CCCTCCCTTCCTTCTTTCCTTCCTTCCTTCCTTCCTTCCTTCCTTCCTTCCTTCCTTCCTTCCTTCCTTCCTTCCTTCCTTCCTCCTCTTTCTTTCCTTCTTTCTTTTTCTTTCTTCTGGTGCCAGTCCTGGGTCTTGACCTCAGTTCTAGGGCACTGTCCTTGAGCTCTTTTGTTCAAGGCATGTGTGCTTAACATGTGTGAAGTCCTGGGTTCTATCCCCAGCTCAGAACCAAAAACTTCCAACAAAAACCCAGCAACAAAAACATGATACAAGCCAGGTGCCTGAGGCTCACACCTGTAATCCTAGCTACTCAGGAGGCTGAGATCTGAGGATCACGATTCAGAGCCATCTGGGGCAGGAAAGTCTGTGAGACTCTTATCTCTAATTAACTACCAGAAACCTGGAAGTGGTGCCATGGTTCGAGTATTAGAGCACTGGCCTTGAGCAAAAGGTTCTCAGGGACAGCACTCAGATCCTGAGTTCAAGTCCCATGACCAACCAAAAACAACAACAACAACAAAATCATATGTAATATTTAAGAGTAAGTGTAATTTTGTGGTACTTTTTATTTAATTTATATTCATTTCTTCAAATTGTATGTGTATTTATGTATGTATGTGTACTAGGTTGCTGCACACAATTTGCATTTTGTTGCATGGTTTTAGTTAAGAAAAATTGAAAGCCATGGATCTGGAACATATATGAATTTTTAAAACATTTTGTTTTTGATGTTTGTTTTCATACTTACAAAGTAGTTGCAATAGAATGAATACTGATCAGTTCACAATTATTATTATTTTTAAATGTTTTTATTGTTATTATAAAGGTGATGTTCAGAGGGATTACAGGTAAAGAGTACATTTCTTTTTGTTCGGGCTTTTGTTTAAACTGTATTTTTTTTTGTCATTTCTTTTTTGGTACTGAAGGTTCGAACCTAGTACATTGCACTGGCTAGGCAAATGCTTTGCCACTGAACTACATCCCCACCCAAGAGTACATTTTTTTTGGCCAATGTTACCCCTTTCCTTGTTCTCTTCCAGACAATTGCTTATGCTTTTTAAAGATTTTTTTTTCCTGTGCCACTCCTGGGGGTTGAACTCAGAGCCTGGGTGCTGTCCCTGGGTTTTTATGCTCAAGGCTAGTGCTCCATCACTTGAGCCACAGCTCTACTTCTGACTTCTTGGTAGTTAATTAGAGATAATAGCTTCACAGACTTTTCTGCAGGATTGGTTTTAAACTGCCATCGTCAGATTTTAGTCTCTTACGTAGGTAGGATTACAGGTATGAACCACTAGAACCCGGCTATTAGTAAACATTAGTACCATATTTCCTTTTTTTCATCTTTCCACACTATTATTTCTTACTATTAGTTTGAGTTTGTTACAAATGCCATGACTCTCTCCCCTAAATATCTTAGTGTGTGTTTCCTGGAAATAAGGACATTTGCTTATTCATAATACTATTTTCAAAAATCGTGTGTGTGTGTGTGTGTGTGTGTGTGTGTGTGTGTGTGTGTGTGTACCAGTACTAGGGTTTGAATTCAGTGCCTTGTGCTCTCACCTGGCATTTTTGCTCAAGGCTGGTGCTTTACCATTTGAGCTATAGTTCCATTTTTGACTTTTTGCTGGTTGATTCAAAATAAGAATGATTTGTCTGTGATTTGTCTGTCCTGTCGGGCTCTAAACTGAGATTCCCAGATCTCAGCCTTGAGTACTTAGGATTATAGATGTGACCCACTGGCACTTGGCCAAAATCAGGGTCTTTATCATTATAGAATATTATTTAAAAATATTTGGGTCGGGCATTGGTGACTCACACCTGTAATCCCAGCTATTCGGGAGGATGAGATCTGAGGATTGTGATTTGAAGCCAGCCCTGGTAGAAAAGTCCATGAGACTCTTATCTCCAATAAACTATTTTTTAAAAAAAGCTGGAAGTGGAGCTGTGGCTCAAGTGGTAGAGTGCTAACCATGAACATGAAAAGCTTAGGGACAGTGCCCAAGCCTTGATTTCAAACCCCAAGACTGACACTCCCCTTGCTCCCAAATTAAATACACTCTTGAGGCTAGGGATATAGCTCAGGGGTAGAGTGCTTGCCTGGCATGCCCAACATGTTGGGTTTGATCCTCACCACAAAAAAGGAAAAAGGAAAATAAACCAAGGTAAAATAAAATGAAATATACTCAACAATTGTGGAATGCTTTTTTTGTTTGAAAGAAGTTATTTTTCTTTCCTCCCTTTCTTTTGTTTTGTC